ATTAGTCCTTCAGGCGGACAAAGGAGGAGCTACAGTGATAATGGACAAAAAACAATATACCGAAAAGATGCAAGAAATTCTACGAGATAGGGCCACATATCGTATACTAAACAAGTACCCAACTATGAAGATCAATGTAATCTTAAGTACCATGCTGAAAGATATGCATATGAATGGGGAGATTGACGCATGGACAAGAAATTCTATCATAATAAAGGATGCACGACCATTGACAACCTACGGATTACCGAAGATACTCAAAGAATGCGAGTCACTAAGGTAGTTATCAACAACAAGTATGGAGCAACACACAAATTGACAAAGTTTATATGTTTGAAAATTAAAAAATTAAATGAGAAGCTATCAAACACGGTGAAACATTCAGATAAATTTTCTCAAAAAATCAAAAACATGGAACTGGAAGAAACGGACTTATTGGTAAGTCTCTATGTGGAGAAAATGCGCTAACGGCCCTGCTGGAAATCCTGGACGAGAGGAGGATATCCTGGAATCACAACGGATCGGTAGGGAGTCGTTAACAAGACTAATCAATTTAACAATAGGGACAACCTATTTCACATTCAACGGGAACATCGATGAACAAATATTTGGACTTTCCGTGGGATCGCCGCTCGCACCACTTTTGGCAAACGTATACGTGAACAAAATGGAAGAGAAGTTCAAGATGGCACCGCAACACCCGGCAGTGCTCAATCGGTACTTGGATGATTATTTCGCAATTTGATCACATGGAAGAGAAAAACTCGAAGAGTTTCTGAAATTTGTAAACCAGATTGATGCAAAAATTCAATTCACGATGGAAGTAGAGGAAGGTGAGCGGTTACCGTTCCTGGACATTAAGGTGATTCGCTCTGATGGAACGCTCAAAAAGAAATTGTTCAGAAAGAAGTCGTTTGCTGGGATATTACTTACTTTCCGGTACCATCACAATTACAGGCTAAAGATTGGAATAATGATGAGCATGGTCATCCGAGGCCTACGCCTAACAGATGTAGAATTGTTGGACGAGAAGCTGGACAAATTGCTCGGAAATCGCTACCCAATCGAAGTGATAAAAAGAAACATACGGGCTGTGTAAAGCAGAAGGAAGAACGGTGACTATGAAAGAACAGTAAGGACGATGAAAGATTCACACAAGTGGATATGCCTACCTTCCTGCGAACTAACTCAAAAACTACGGCCAATATTAAGTGAATGGAATATTCGTTTGGACATGAAAGAGAAATCAACACTTCACAAGTCTACCGACGCAACATGATAGGGTAGACAAATTGGACTGTTCAGGAGCTTACTGTATAACATGCAGCGGCTGCGGACAGAAATATATTGGCGAAAGAGGCAGAAAAATTAGCACATGAATCAAGGAACATCAGAGGCTCTGCAGGAAAATGGATACCGAAAGATGAGAATTAGCGGAACACATCGCGCAGACTGGACGCGAGATCAATTGGAAGGCAACCGAAAGAAGAGCTTCATACGGGGACAACACAAGGAAGTAGAAAATTAGGGAGGCCATTGACATCGTTGGGGAGACAAATCTAATGAACAGGAGATTGGAGGAAGGTAGAGTTAGTGATAACTTTGCCTACTGCCTAAGTAAACTCGGGAAAAACAAGAATAGAGCAAGAATAGCAAAAATGAGACGCCTGGACTAAGGATCTGCCGTTAAGTGGAGGAAAAGGGATTGCGACGACAAAAGTGGGGGGATGGGTTTTCGGCAATAAGCGAAGACGTTGTCGGTGAATGATGGCCATTTTGAATAAACCAGTACAACTTTGGGGGCCTGACAGTCAGGGAGCTGGGCAGACGGATAAGCAAACCGTTATAAAAATTAGGGGTTCTGGCCAAAATGTACCAGAAATCCACTTGAGATGCCGCATGCGATCAGAGATAGGCGTCCATAGTTTGCTCAGATAACATAGGTTTATTGAAGGAGATGACCCGTGAAGGGAAGGACTGATATCTGCAAGCATGGCAATCAGAGCTTAGGCGCTCTGCTGAGTGAAGTGGCAGTGTACGTGCTTCTAGGGCCTTGAC